GCCCTGCCGCCGCCCCGTCCTCACTCATAAAGCTTCCCTAAGTGTAAGCTATTGTTTGCATGTTCCTGGCACCATGCTGAGGACAGGGCATGCCTTATGTCACTTATTTCTGGAAACAACCTGATTACATTTCGGTTGCCATTTTACAGATGAAGAAACTGAGGAATAAGAAGAATACATAACATTACTCATGTCACATTGCTAATATCACATAATTAATATATTCATTTCCTAGGGCTGCAGGACAAATGACCACAAACTTGGTGGCTTAAAACAACAGAAATGTATTGTCTCCGTTTTGGAAGCTGAAAGTCCAAGATCCAGGTGTTCACAAGGCCCTCCTTTCTCTGAAGTCACTCGGGCAGGATTCTTCCTCGTGTTGTCATCCCTGCAGTGGCTGCCAGCAGTCCTCGGGGTTCCTGGCTGGTAGACATACCATTCCAGTCTCTGTTTCCTTTGTCACATGGTGTCCTCACTGTGTGCCTCTCTGGATCCAAACTGCCTTCTCTTCTAAGGACACCGGTTATTGGGGTAGGGCCCAGTATTACCAATCTTAATCCAGGAAGAGCTCATCTTCAATTGATTATATGAGCAAGGTCCTATTTCCAAATAAGGCCACATTCACAGGTCCTGGGAGGTAGGACTTGAACATATCTTTCTGAGGGATACGATTCAACCCACAGTAAGTGGTAGTAAGTGATGGAGCTAGGGCTCGGAACCACTCCCCTGTCATCTGCAGAATGGGAACTTCAGGCCGCAGGCATGGGTCAAAATGACCCTTGAGGGAGTGTTAAGACAATATTAGAATGTCTGTTTTTAAATTTCATCTTTTAAAAATTTCCACTTGTGTTTTATGATGTACAGCATGTATTTACAATAGTACATGAGTGTGTTCTGTAAACATATGTATATTCAGTGGGTACTCAAGAATTGTAACTGATCAGTGTATGAAAAAAAAATTAAGGCCCTGTACCAATCCTCTCCCTCTTACCCATCTCTTAAACTGGTGGTCAGTGGTGTATTACTTTCTCTTTTTAACAGTTGCCTCAGCAAAATAGCACCTCACTATTTGTAGTGAGGTGTTTTGATTTCCCCCCACCCCCAGGATTTGGTTGAAAAGGGTTTAGTTGGAAAAAGGACAGTTACCAGGCCTGAGCCAAGGTGACAGGTAGCTAGAACCTTAAGAATGAGGCGATTTGGCAAGATTTTTTCCCCTTCAGTTTGTATCCTTCGGTATTTCAGTAACATTGTCTAACGATCGGTTTCCTTTTAACACCTCAGACAGACAGGCAGAGCCAGTGTTTAATATAATTTAGGTCTGAAAGCATGCTGTTAATGATCCAAACAATTTAACATCAGTTGTTGAGGGCAGGGGAGGCATATATCTTTTTTGGACTTATTTTGAAATACAGTTTTTCAAAAGGAAAACCACTGCAACAAGTAACCAAGTTGTGATGCCGCTTCTATTCTTCGGACTTCAATGCTACAGTTTCCTTGTGTGATACTATTCCGAGATCTGCTCCGCTCCCCCAACACGTACACATACATACACTTTGCCAGGAATTGTTTTGGGTTCCTTAAGGGAGAGACAGTGATATGCTCACAGGTAAATAAATCTCAAAATGATAATGTGCATTTGAAGATCCATTTGTTTATATATTTTAAAAACAGGGGGAAGTCAAAGTAAACCAGGCAAAATGTATAAATTTGTATTCAGATATCCATGGAAAAGAATCACTCAGAAGAACAAAGGATAGTATAACACTAAATGAGTCATGGTGTTCTCCCAGAGAGTAAAACAGTATTCTTATTAGTTATTGTTTAATTCTTAGAACATTTGACATAAGGTTCTATTGATTGCTGGGGAGGGGGAGCTGGTCCCCTTCTCACGGGTTGTTTGAGTTCCTGTGTGGGCCTAAGTATATTTTTGTTATAATTTATCCCACCTGTGCCTGTCAGTTCCTTCCTTTCCACTTGCATCCTCCCGTGACAGTCTGGCTCATGTTTCTTCATAAAGCTGTAAGCCAGTTATTAATAACAGCCCAGCGAGTCTCCTGATCCACCCAAGAGCATATGGTGTTTTTCACAAAAGAGAAGAGAGATCATCTCCTTGACTTTGGACTTCAATTATCGAGTCCCTCAACAGTAAGTTTGGCTCTTTAAACTATATGGCATTTTACAATGTCGATGTGGGAGGAAAGTTTAGCATAACTCCTGTTTGCCTCTGGTAGGGGGAGAATATAGTAAGCCAAAACTTAGACTCCTAAAGCCAATTTCCCTCACTCTGCTTCAACCTCCCTCCCATCTGTATGAGGCGCTTGCACGACAGATGAACGAATTAGAATTTACAGTGTTTACAATCTCTCATTTCCTTCTGGCTAAGTAAAGGCAGGAGAAGAAGCAAGGGATTAATAATTCCTAAATTACTTGACCACACCTGGTGGCATGCTTGGTATTCCCGCCGCTCCAGTGATTGTGGAGAGAACTCTCACCCAGGGCAAGTATATGCATGGAGGGCTGCACGGGAGATGGGGGTCTTGTCGGTCTCCGCTGCTGGAGCTTCCATTCAGACAGGGCACCTGCCTTGTTCCAGTGGTTCATTGCTTTCTTGTTTTCTCTTTGCCGAAGGCTTTTCTTTGCAGCCTCCTTCATAATGGTTGCTTCTGAGAGTCCTGAAAAGTAGGTCACTGTGTTTTCTGTCTGGAAAAGGAGGACTTGCTCGGTCCTTGTGAGCTCCGCTGAAACCAGACAATCCAGTCATTCTTCAGGACCGGGGACTAACGCAGCTTCCTGCTTTTGTTACCTATATTCCATGCTCTTGAACATGTGCATCAGGCTTCTAAATAACACATTTAAGGGAGGCATTACAGCGAACTGGAAGGAGGCAGATGCTGGCCTGGTGTGGAGCCCTGGCTTGGAGCACTAACCAGTTGTGTGAGTTTAAGCAAGCACTCAACCTCTCTGGGCCTCAGTTTCCTCATTTGTAAAATGAGAGTCATAATGACCTCTTTTATAGGGGAATGGGGTTTACTCATAATGTATATAAGTGGCCAAGTATACTAACATTATTTATGAAATCCCTCATTTGAATTTCTCCTGAATCTTCTTAGTCATCTCTTGTTTGTTTCACACTCAAATCTAGAGCCCTCAATGTGGTCTTTAACAGAAGACATTAATCTAAATGGTAGAGACAATGGACGGAGGTGGGCGGGGGCTGGGCTAAATGGGTGACGGGCATTAAGGAGGGCAGGTGTTGTGATGAGTACTGGGTGTCTTATGTAAGTGATAAATCACTAAATTCTCCTGAAACCAGAACTACACTCTATGTTAACTAGCTTGAATTTAAATTAAATCTTGGAAGAAAAAAAAAAAGAAAGAATTAAAAAACTAAATGGTAGAGACAATAATTGGTTTCATCTTTAGGATGGGCAGGCTGTGTGGAGGTCGACGCTGGGGCATATGGTTAGCAGTTCAGGACATTAGGCTACAGCTAAGATCAAAGAAGATGACAAACCTCCCAGAAAATTTCAAAGTGTAAGCTAGTATTTTAATAAACTTGCCTGCTTTACCAGTATTCTAAAATTTGTCTTTTGGTTATGTGTTTCTATGGTTAGAAGGGACTGGTTGCTCCTCATTGCTAGATTAATTCTGTGCCTGGAGGAGACAGACAGGAGGGTTGTCTCAAAGAGTACCTGCTTCCCAAAGTGTCCCCCTGTAACTCAGGAGATGAGATTTTTGCTTTCCTCCACAAGCTTTGATTATGCAGACATTTATTTAATTCCTACTGCGTGCAAAACATTGTGCTAGGTTAGCAAGGCATCAGTAAGCTCTGAATATAGTAGGAGAAAGAAGTCATTTTGTGAGTAACTCGGGCACAAGTCAGAACGGGCTGCTCCATGGTACATGAGATGCACAGACAGAAGACAGATAGGGCCCAGATTCCACAGAGCCTTCACACCCAAAAATGATCCCCCCAAAACGAGCATTGCTGGTTAGACTTCCCTTTGGAAGGCTGTAAATTTTTAGAAAATGATTCAGGGATTTTCAGCATTCCTCCCAAGGTTCACCTTCTAAGTAATGAGCTAGTGAGGCGTGGAAGAACAGCACCGTAAAAGCTGCATCTCATCCTCAGCCCTCTACCCGCACATCCCCAGTTACATTTTGTTTTTTGTTTTTTATCAAGATTTTATTTATTTATTTGATCGGGGGAGGGGCAGAGGGAGAGGGAGAAGCAGACTTCCCACTGAGTGGGGAGTCTGACATGGGGCCCGATCCCAGGACCCTGAAATCATGACCTGAGCCGAATACAGACACTTAACCAACTGAGCCACCCAGGCGCCCCCAATTACTTTTTATTGAGCACCTATTTTCTTCTAAGCCCTGTGTTAAATGCTGGAAATACAATTCTGTCTTTAAAAAGGTCGCAGACTTTCATTTAACTTAAGATTCTGTTCTCCCCCCAGCCATCTACCTTCTCAGCTAAACTTGACTCCATAAAACACTTAACTGGTTTCAGAAATAAAATCTGCACCTTAATGAATCCAAAATTGCCACCAGGGAGTTTATGCAGGTTGTGTGTTGCAGAAAGTCGTTTGAAAAGTTTTGCCAGATGCTGTTTAGAACTCCAACAGGCCCAGACAGTCTCCACTCTCTTCCACTCACCAGCCCCCAGCCTGGAGTGGCCCTCGCTTGGCTGTATGAATTCTGCAGATAAAAAACACAGACCTCACAAACACACACCCTCAGTCTCACTCCTGCTTCCTCACACCAAGGCAGGACAAACCTGTGCTGGGGCTTCCTCCCGAAACCTTGCAGAGCTGGTCCCCAGCCAGACTCTGGGCAGTTCATCTGGCCTTGTAAGAGGGCACAACAGCTGTGATTCATGGAGAGAGTTGGGGAACCTGACAGGTTGATAACATTTTGATTATTTTGGTTCCAGAAGATTTCTTAATGTTAAGTGCCTGTAACTGGGCAATTTATGTCTTCTTGGGGGCAATGCACAATCTCCTATTTGGGGCAGGAATGTGCCAGTGGGAAATCTCAACCTTCAGAAGTCTTGGCAGTGGATGATTAAGAGGAGATGTTTGTTCATGTGTAGAAAAATGATTCATTTTAGGGCAAGATATTTACTTACAACATTCGAGGCATGGTCAAGATGGCCCGGGAAGGCCCCACCCACACAGGCATTGACCCAGAAAGAAAGCATTAGAGGGACAGTTGAAGAGAAGTAGAGGAGATCCACGCAGGTCGGGGAGCCCCCCAGCCCCCGGGGGGGTTTGGGGGGGACCCCCGTGAGTGCTGCCAGGTAATCCAGCCCACACGCCTGCACGCCTGCCTGCCTCCACCTCCCCTTGCCACCTCTAGATCCACTTGTTTGCTCTCATCCATCCGAGTCACTACTCTTCTCTTTCCCCCGCGTTGGGTGGCGGGGAAGAGGCCATGTTTCTGATTCGCTGCTTCACTGTAACAACCACTGTTTGCTCAAGCACCAGGCAGCATGCTGGGCTCTTGGCTTCCCTTTTTACCGATCCTGAGATACCCCAGTGGTGAAGGCTGTGGAGCCAGACAGACCTTCATTCAAATCCCCGGTTATCCCTGGCGTGTGACCTGAACTAGTTTATTTAACATCTCTGCTCTTCAGTTTCTCCCACTAAGGAAATAGGAGTGCTAATTACTCACGGTATCAGGTTTTATGTGATTAAAATCAAAGCATTTGTAGGCCCTTCCTAGTGATAGTTGCGAATAAAATCCTTTCAATTCCCTGCAAGACCAATATTATCTCTGGGTAGCAGGTGAGGTTAAGTGCCAGGTCTGAGGCTACAGGGCCACACCAGCTGGAACCAGGATCTAAAACCAGTTCGGTCTGGCTCTAAAACCTATGCTCGCTCCTCGCTCCACTTTGCTGACTGACCATCTGTGACCAAGCACATGTTTTTGTCCTCAGTCGAAGTCCACTTTGTCAAGCTCTGACCTGCCAAGTGTTTCAGTTTTCGCTTGTGACTTCCTTTATTTTGGACTCTTTGGTCTGACCTTGGCCCGAATCAGAGAAGTTGGAGGTGATGAAGGTAGAATGTCTCCCAATAAGCGAGTGAAATGCAGAATCCAATTTATCTCAAATGTCAAAAAATGGCTGCGGCCATCGTGATGGTGGTTGTTGAAGAAGTGTAGCTGTGGAGCCCCAGACAAATCGCTATACTTCCTGACCTTCTCTGGGCCTCGTTGGTCCACTGGGAAGTTTCCAAATCGCAAATATCTTTTCCAGTGCCAACATTTCTGTCGTATTTCAGACCTTTCACTACTGTTGTTTTTCCTTATCTGGAAAGAGAAAAATCTCTTTGAAATCCTATCTCAAGCAGGAAACAAGGTACAACGATCATGCCGGCAGTCATTTAAGTGTAAAGCCACATGCCATTATTATGATTCTCATTCAACAAGCTTTCTCTCATACAAGACTCGTATCACTGATGAATTAATTTCTCAGATCTGTGTTAAATTTCCTTTCTCACATAATTCAGCTTTGGGCAGAATCTAATTGGGCCTTAACTAGTTCAAAAAGTGCAATTTGAACTCAAATTTTAGAAACTTACATAATGCACAAAACCCATTTACTTTTGAATAGGCCTGAGTTTTTAGTTAACTTCTGAATGACTCAAATTTGAAGAGTCTCCTGGCCTGCCACACCAGCGTCCATTTCTAGAGTCCTCAGGGGACAAGTCTTCATTATGCCGTAGAAACTGTAGGCATCCTAACAGGACGTTCCTATCCTAAAATCCCATATTGCTGGTGCCAAATTTTTGTTGCCTTCCAGCAACTTGTCTTGGTTCCCTAATTACAAGCAAAAAACAAATACAGAAGCAAAAACAACAAGACATAACTCCCATATGATTTCTGAAGTTTCTAAAAGATAATTTTATTGAACATAAACTTTAAAAGAGACATTTTCCATATAGAAAGCACCCAACTTGGGATTTTACTTTTTAAATATTTGCTAAAAAAGGTAGACTTAATGTATGTGTTTTTCCTGTTGTAATTGTCATTTAAACAAAATGACCTTCCGGTCTTCTGAAAAAGCTTCCACTTTACATGCAGTTATAAAAGCAATATTTGTTGAAAATGGATTGATGTCAGATACTGTGAGGCATTGG